CCAGCACTGCCACAACAGCTGCCCAGCCTCAGTGCAGTCCAGCTAGGAAGAGCCTGGTGCTGCCCTGGACCCAGCCCACCTTGCCCTGCATGCAGATCCTGGGGCATGCATCCCCCAGTGTCCTCCCAGGCTGCCTGCCCTCCCCCTCCCCATGGCCCCCAGATGAGCTGCTCATGGCTCCATCCCCTGCCCCACCCCATCGCCCCACGTGCTGATCCGGGGGCACATGCCTCCGCCTCTCCTCCCCCGCGCTCCCTGGATAAGCTGCAAGTGGCTTTATCCCCCTCCCTGCCCCGTCTGTCCTGCCCCTGCCCCAGCCCCAGTCCCTACCTCAGAGCTGCTGCAGCTGCCAGTGCTGCCCCACATTTGGAGGGGGCACGTGCCCCCCCAATCTGTACACACCAGACTGGGCTTTGCACCCTGCTGCACGTGGCCCCCAAGCCTCTGCCTCTTCCCTCTCCCACTGACTGAACTGCTGAGCTGGTGCGGGGCATGGGGGGGACACGTGTGCGTGCATGTGCGCACATGCTCAGTCCCTGCAGCCCAGGATTGACTTCAAGAGGGTCCAGGATCCACCAGTCAATCCCAGTCGGCCAGGTCGTGACCACTGAGGTAGAGGATGCTGAAGCTGGCATGGGTGTCCTGGGGTCCTAGTGCAGCAGGGATGCATATCTGGCATTGCTCTGGATTGCCAGCCCTCCATTTGTTTCAGTGCATGCTACTGACATGTGCTCTCTTCCACTTTTTTGCCTGGAGTTTTTGTTTTTGCCACCGGGATTTCCTGGTAGTAAATTTTGCCACCATGCTGCAAATTTGCAATGTGGTGCATGTTTCACATTCCCTAAATGGCATATGTGGTGCTACAAAGTGTTTTTTGGTGCCACAAACTGCATGCCTCTGTGTGTGGGGACCCACCCATATTTGGTATGTGTTACAGCATACAAATATATAGGAATGGCTCTGAATTCTGGAAGCAGATTGCAGTCTCATATAATGGTTCTGCATCAAATGTTGTGTATATTTGGTTGTATCCTGTATTCAAAAAGCAATAAGTTGAGACAGAAGCTGTCTTTCTGGGTTGATGGCTTCCTAGGACAGTTTGGCACACTGGTCTTTTGATTAAAATGTCTAGTATTTTACAAAGATGGGTGTTAACTGCCTCAGAATTGGGGAACGTACATGGAAAATAAAACAAGATCATATAGATAACAGGTCAGCTGACTTTTAGAAGGCGTTGTGGGGGTACCCATGCTGTTCAGCTTATACATCAATGACCTTCCCTGCACCCTCTCTTAAAAGTTCATTTGTGAAAGTGGCATCATCCACAGTCCTGACACAGTTGTTCTCTGCTCTGAACATCACCTTAGCAATTAATATAGCCAAGGTGGCGAATAATACTACACTAGGTGTCTTGTGTAGCTGAATGAAACAAGTATGTTACACCTGTACTGTGACTCTACTGCCTACAAACTAGATGTTATTTTAAATGAGCAGCGCCTGAAATATAAGCCATATCTGGTTTACTTTGATGTGACACTAGATTGAATTTTGACTTTTTTATGAAAGCTTAAAGAAGACAGCTGCCAAAATTAAACCACCCAATAGTCCCCTCATTAAACAAACCAGGGCCACCTGGGGTGCGCACACACACATTCTGAATGTTCTCACTTGCCATCTGCTACTCAGCTAGAGAATATTGTACACCAGGCTGATGCCATTTATCACATAAAGCCTTACTGATGTGCAATTACATTAAACCATGCACACCATATCAGGAACAATAAGTCCATCCCACTGGCCACCATGGTTGCCAGTGTCAAACAAAATAGCACCACATCAGACTTGCCATAAGAAACAACACTTAAACTCTGAGAAAAGATCCATGTCAATCCAAATCTGTCTCTGAATATGAATCTTTTCAACTCACCTCTAGTTTATTTCCTATTGTGTTGACCCTTATGGCCCAATGTACCATACGAGAACGGCACAGAATCATGCAGGAAAAAGGAATGGCCTTTATAGAGTCATAGGATCATAGAGAAAAGTAAGATTGGAAGGGGCCTCCAGAGGTTATCTAGTCCAACCCCCTGCCTGAGGCAGAATCATCCACTACAACCATAATCTAAGGCTACCCTCAATTCTGACACAAGATAGACCTAACTCCCTAACCTGCCACAGGTAAAACAGGGAATCACGGTAGCCAATGTCCTACTTCTATAAAATGTCATTATACACTCAAGAGGTCCTGGGTAGAGGGCCATGCCCCCCCCCGCCGGAAGGCAAAACCCATACAGTCCATAACAAACTAACCATGAGGTAAAATTACTTCCTGACCCCAAATATGTTGATCAGTTTGACTGTGAGTGGAGAGGAAGACCTTCTAGCCAGGAAAAAATCCTTACTTTCAGCTTTGGTCCCACCAGGAGAATTGGCACACCGTAGTTGAAGTCCCCAGCCTTAGCTGTAGCTAAAACCCACTGCCTCTGGGGAGGCTTAAAACACCCTAACACAAATAGCAGAATAAAGAGGGACAGGGTGGGCAGGAGCAACCAGCAAAGCCCAGTAAGATGGGAAATACCCATGGTAGAATATAGGCATAGCTATGCCTAGATCATTCCCAACTAGTGGTTGTCCAACCACTTCCTGAGCACCTCCAGTGATGGAGTGTCCACAACTTCCCTAAGCAATCTATTCTACTACCTTACTGTTTTAACAGTGAAGACGTTTTTTCCAGATATCCAATCCAAATTTACTTTGCAGCGATTTTAAGTCATTGGTCTTCATTGGTCTCTCTGATGCAAGAGACAAAAGGTTGCTTTCCCTCTTCTTTATAGCAGTCCTTCAAGTATTTGAAGACTACTCCATCATGTCCTCTCTTAAGTGCCTTTTCCACAAGCTCCTTCAGCCTCTCCTCATATGACTTGCCTTCCAAGCCCTTGATCAACTTTGTTGCCTGCCTCTGGACCCGCTCTAACTCTCCATGTCCTCTTTAAAAGAGTGGAGCCCATAATTGCACACAGTACTCCAGATGAGGCCTAACTAATGCCAAGTAGAGAGGCACTATCACCTACGTTTTGCACCTAATGTGTCTATTGAGGCAGTCCAAAACCACATTGGTCTTTTGTGCAGCTGCATCACACTACAGACTCATGTTGAGTCTGTGGTCTACCAAGACTCTCAGGTTCTTTTTCACAGAGCTGCAATCCAGCCAGGTATCTCCCATTTTGTATTTGTGTTTTTTATTATTCCTCCTGAGATATAGCAACTTGCATCTGTTGTTGCTGTCCATATTGAACTTCATCCTGTTAGCTCTAGCCAAACTTTCCAATCTGTCAAGATCCTTCTGAATTGGACTTGCATCCTCCAATGTGTTCACCATCTTTCACAGTTTCATGTTGTATGCAAACTTGCTCAAGAAGCTTTCTATGCTAGCATCCAAATTGTTAATAAATCTTAATTTATCAAATCTTAATCAATGATAACAGAAGCATTCTTTATCACTGATCATATCATCTGTTCTCCCACTTTCAGCTTTCAGTGCCATCATTGGGCCTTGCTGAACAGGACCAGGACTGGCTAAGAACAGAGTTAATCCAGCCTTCATAGGTGGAACCAATTTGAAAACATGTACTGTGTCTCAGGACAAGTGCAAACTAAGGTGCCTAATATCACAACCAATCAAACTGTTGTTGCTTGGCTTTGCAAAATGGGCATTTACTAAATGTTTAAAATCCGTGGCAAAATTTTACCAAGTAATTTGAGTGCAAACAAGATGGGACTACTAGAGAAAAATATAGTAAGAAATATATTCCAAGGTTCTATATCTTTCATGGTATCTCACCAGAGTAAATCAATAATAAATCTACAGAAACCAGTGGAGTTAAACTGGTTTAAAAGTGCTTTGAGATAAGATCCAGGCCCACAGTATGAACATACAATTCCAATAGTTGTATATAAATCCCTTAGTGGGTAGAAACAGGAAAATACATTTAAATAAAACATGCTTTCAAAATTTTCAGTCTTACCTCAGCCATGCTTGGTTTTCAAATACTAGCAGTTCTAGGAGCCCAGATTCCCTGTTGATGGTAATATAATGAAGTTTACATAGAACAGGAAGTTAATTTTATTTCCATACTAAAAGACAGTAGATTGGGAAAATTGTAAAGTCACTAAAATAATAATGAAACAGAATGGGTGGAAGAACAGCCCCCCTGCAGCAGACCATGTTAATTACCCTTGCAGCTGGGAGATCAATTTGCATACATAGTCTTTGAAGCCTGTCAGGTATGAATTGAACCACTGAACTGTTACATTTGATAATCTAGCCCTCCAAAGCATTTTTTGTTAAAGATGTTATATTTCATAGAACTAGTTGTTTTTCTGTCTAAAAGTAAACAGTTGCATTTAATTTGTTCCTGTATAAACAGTTTTACGTTTGTGACTTCCTGGAGCACCAGGTTAGCGACATAATCTCATCAAAAGCATCCGTACTGCTGATTAAACACAAAAGAGGTATGGTCAAATAGCCTTGACGAACAATGAAAGCAAGGAAATTAAAACTTAAAGCTACTGGTGACAGGCATGACTCAGGGGATTGTTAATGAGGGATGGAGCTCTCAGCTCTAGGATACAGATTCCATTCTATTCTAGATTAGTGACAAAATTGTTACCATCTGATGACTTGCTAGCTGAATAAATCAGCTATGGGCAGAACTCTGTTAAATGGTAGCTTTCTAGCTGAGTGAGGTCTTTCACCATTTAGCCTAGGTAGCTGAGTGACTGATTATGGTACTTCAGAAGGGAATTTTAGGCTCCACTTGGGGGTGAACCAGCATCTCTCTGACTTCCTAGCACAACATACAGGCATACAACTGAGCTTTCTCAAGCATTCCTTTTGAAGCTGAATGTAGCAAGATGGTCTGACCCTTTAAGTGGAGAAGCCAGCCCTGGAGTAGGAGCCCAACAGCAAATAACTAGCTGCCAGTTAGAAGTCTAAGCAGGGAGAGAGCAAGGAGCATGAGCTGGGGTTGGAACCATTTGCAGGCAGGAAACAGACTGAAATTCAGAGGAGTTTGCTTCTAGGAAGGCCAGAGGTAAAGGACCTTCTCCTGCTGCCTGGAGAAAGGCACAAGGTTTTTCTGTTCTTTTTGTTTGTTGTTATGCATAAAGATTATTGTTTGCATTATGGACTATTGTTTGAACTGGCTGAGGACTTCTAATGGGAGCAGGCACACTAACCCACTTACACTGAACCACTGCTTCTTGTGTTTACCATTTATTGGATAATATGATTGGTGCCAGACAGATGGTTTTGTCCTGTTGGGAGCAAGAGCCCACTCAGGTGAGAACCAAGGGCCTATTTCCCTTAAGGCCAGCATTGTCTTACTGGTTACATATCCTCTAGCTTGGACTCCTACATCTCACCTCACACAACTCCCTCTGTTGGCTGCCAGGAGGTGGGAGGGAACAGCACCTCTTCAAGTCCAGATTTTTTACAGTGTCCATCCCCATAGCATCTAGACACCCATATTGTACATTTGCCTATAAAATAAATGGAAAAGTTGGTATTCTGCTGGCACTTGAGAGAACCTGAGATTTATAAAGCTAGAGAACATTTAGATCTTCAGGTCAAGTGAACCAGTATAGTTCAGTTGATACCAGTGAATTTAAATGAGACCACACTGGTTAGGTATACAAATTTTACCCAGCAATAATAATTGTGAAATAATAATAATAATAATAATAATGAAAATCCACTTATTCACCAGAACCTTGAGAGCCACTTGTGATAGATTTCACATAGCTCACCTGATCTCATCAAGCATTTTTAACACAAGCAGTAGTTGGGATGAACTTCAGGTAAACATCTGATCCTTGTGATGTTCACTTGAATTCAGGTGAACCTCTGCACCTTTAGGCATTCCCTATTTTTCCCATAGGGTATTGAGCTATTGAGTTGCATTTAAGAAATGTTATTTTATGTGGACAGGGTGTTCAGATAGGATAGTTCTGAGAGCCTTTAGAAAATCTATAAATAAATACTACTTTTTTATAGTTTAGTAATTTCTCAAACTACTGGGTGCATTTATATGTTCATTAATGCACCTTTGCTCCTGTACATTAAGTTTAATACCTATAATATGAGGTACTAGATAAAGGCATGGTAGCTGTGCTAATGTGCAGCAGTAAAGGCAAACTTTTTTTGTGACGCTTAATGTGCAGTAGACTAATTCTACTGTGCATTAGCATGTTTTTAGCACATTAAGGCATAGTAGAACAGCCCACTGTGCATTAAGGTGTCTCATGTAGACATGCCCACTATAACTAGCTATTCGTACTTTATGCAGAAGTTCCTGTTTCTTTTCCCTGAAAGAAGGGTACCTCCTAGCTGGTTGCCATTTTTCCTCTCTATTTGTTGAATGAGTTTGTCTGGTCAGTGATGCTTTTTGATTGGTGTGTGCTGTTGATTAATTTCCTTTAAATTCAAATTAGGCATAACCACAGTGGTAAACTATTGATATGAATGGTCCTAAAGAAATTGTGCACATCTATGGAATGTCACTATTTCTTTAAAAAACTGCAGCCCCAAGGGACAAAGAAGGGATTCCCACAGAACTTGTGAAGCCACAACATTTTGGATGCACTCATCTGAACTGATAATTAGATGGTTTTGATTAGTGTTAAGGTTTGAGAAGCAAAATTAAATGTGTGGCTTTGATAATGCAAGTTACCTGTAAACCAGAGTTCCAAATCCCTTTAAATTGAAACTACTAAGTACCTTATATCTTTGTACATTATTACACTGGAAAAGTGAAGATCATTAGTCAAAGTGTATGTTACAGGGTTCTTAGGCAGTTATGACTGAAATTTTCAGAGGACTAAGAAAGTTAGATATGTGGTTTCTATCCTAGTTTCTATGGCTACCTCCTCTACAACTGGTTCTCTGGGACTGGTACACCTACATTTTTAGGTCCCTTTAAAACTCAGGTATTAACAGGAAAGAAATCTACTTGCCACAAATAATTTAACAGCAAGTCAGATAATGGGGTGCAGGGGGTCTTTTCTTGTTAGCTATACCTTCCTAGAACAGTACTAGAGTTATTTTACTCTGGGTGCATCTACACGTGCAATTAGTACACATAGATAAACTCTGGGGCTTACTGCTCTGGAATGTTTTGTTCCCAGAAGTGCCGTTTGAACATGTGCACAGGAGCAAATAACTCCAGAGCTATTAGTTCTGGAATTTATTCATGCATGGATCTCCCCATCACTGGCTGGCAGGAGCCTGGGGGTCAGCCTGCCAGCCCAGGACTGCTCCGACTTGTCTCAATGTCTCCACAATGGAGGGGCTGGCTGGGACATGAGGGTGCTTTAGTGAAGGGCTAGCTGGCAGGCACTGAAGTATTCTCATGCCCTAACCAGCCAGTCAGTGTCTACATGTGTGCTAGTACTTGCATTTACAATACTACCCTGCTGTGGAGTTTATTAATTTTGTGCACCCTAACAGGGGTGCACATGTAGACACTAAGACATTTACTTCACAGTTAATTAGGAAACTACGCAGTAAACATCTTGTGTTGATGCACCCCTCCCCATAATAAAATAAAATTGCTAGTTGATGTAATTTTAATGCTCTTTAATATTCCAAATTTCTTTTATGAGAATGTTTATTTTATGATCATATATTAAAGATAAGTGTATTCCTTTTTCTCTGGCAAATATAACTGTTCCAATGTAAAATGAACTGCAGGTAGTAATACAAATCATGTCCAGCAAAATACATTTTCTTTGTATGATCTTAAATCTTTTAAGATTTACTAGTTGTTTTTATTCCTCTATCTAATGTGCAATGGATGTAAAGCACACAAAGCAAGCTTTTGGTTTGTAGCTGGGATTTAAAGTTTGCACAACAGAACTCTTATCATATAACAGCAGCTGGGCAGGGAAAGGGACATAATTCTAAGATTTGAACCAAATTTAAACAATGTTTAAAATGAATGACCAGTGGATGCAGTGATGTACACAAAGCAGTTGAGTATTTACTGCTTCATTTTTTATCCAGCTTCCTTCAGGTTAGTAAGAATACCAATAAGAAAATGCTGTATTGATGAAAATGGAGTGAGAAGTATAACTCAGGATATTACAGCTGGAATAACCCTGCTGGAGAGAACAATCTGTCAAGGTTTTCATTATTTATTTCTATTTTCATTAACAGGTTTATATATATATATATATATATATATATATATATATATATAATGTGTGTGTATAGATATATATAGTGCTTTTTCTCCTCCTATAGCTTTCTATGAATACTGCTTCTTTCTTTTGCTTGACATGGCATAATTCCATAAACGAGTCAGTTGGATTCACACATTTATTGTATGCTTAGGTCAGTGATTCTCAGTCAGGGTGCCATGGCCCCCTGGGATGCCTTGAGATTCTTTCAATGATGCCATAGGCTGCCACACAATATTAGTACCGTTAGGAATGTAAACAGCTACACATGATTTACTAGATAAACCCACAGATTTCAAATAGGCATCCACAGTATCAAAAGCATTTTTGACCTGTTGTGGTCTTCCTGAGCTCTTTGCAACTGAAGATTTGTTTTATTATTCTTCCATAGTTAAAAAAACCAAAACACACAAATGAAAGCTAAGAGCTAGCATTTTCTGAGGGGCCTTGAGTCTAAACAGGGCTGGGAACTGCTGACTTAGGCTATCAAATAAACAGTGTTTCATGAAGATAGTACCCAAATGTTTGATTTATAATTTTCCAATATTTTAGAGTATTTGTAACTGGATTGCTTCTCAGCCACTCATGAGCAGGAAGGTTACTATATGAAGCTTTGTAATATTTTTCATCTCATAGCCAGAATTAGCTACAGAAATATAAACAGAAGAAAGAATGACAATAACCTTAGTGTTTGTCTTCAAAAGGCTTTTTAGCTGATGGGTTTAGATATGGTTAGCTGTGATGACGACGTGAATCCGAAGGGTGATGCATGAAAAACAGCTCATGTCAGAGTCTGAGGTGGGAAAAGTTCAATATGAGTGCCAACTATTTGTTAAATCAACACGAAATCTGAAATATAAAATAAACCAATCAGCATAAGGGTTTATTTATTTGTTGGATGTAACAGAGACAGGGTGCAGAGGAAAAGGTAAGGAGTTTTATTTACCAGAGATTTACAAATGACCTTCATCAAGGTGAACTCAAAAAAGGGAGAATATCTGCAAATAAGGCAACCTTGTGGCCAATATGAAGTTGTATTTATTGAGTCCACCCAGTCCCTGAGTGCACTATTGTTAATTATCCTTCATACCATAGCTATTGTCCTAGGGACAGTTTTCTTTCAGTGAGCTGTGGGTTAAATGGTGTAATACTGCTACTACTAATTGTATCATCTGCCTATTATCTGTCAGTTGTATTTATGCTGACCCAAACACAGTAGTCTGTAGGTATTATATGTGTATGCTTAGGAGTGTATGCTTAGGGGCAACCAACATGGGATCATTAGAGGCAGGTCATGTCAGACCAACCTGGTGGCCCTCTATGACCAGGTCACAAAATCCTTGGATGCAGGTGTCACAGTGGACGTAGTCTTTCTGGACTTTAAGAAGGCCTTTGACACTGTCTTTCACCCCATTCTCATTAAAAAATTAGGAGATTGTGGTGTCAATGCCTACACAGTCAGATGGGTTGCCAATTGGCTGGAGGGCCGCACCCAGAGAGTGGTAGTGGACGGGTCATTTTCAGCCTGGAGGGATGTGGGCAGTGGGGTTCCCCAGGGCTCGGTCCTCAGGCCTGCACTGTACAACATCTTCATCATCGACTTGGACAAGGGGTTGAAAAGCACCTTGTTCAGATTAACAGATGACACTAAGATGTGGGGAGAAGTGGGCATGCTAGAAGGGAGGGACAGGCTGCAATTGGATCTGGACAGGTTACAGGGGTGGGCAGATGAGAATAAGATGGGATTCAATACTGACAAGTGCAAGGTACTGCACCTAGGGAGGAAGTACCAGCAGCATACCTACAGGCTGGGGAACTCCCTTCTAGTCAGCACAGAGGCAGAAAAGTATCTTGGAGTCATTATAGACTCCAAGATGAACATGGGCCGCCAATGTGGGGATGCAGTCAGGAAGGCTAACTGCACCTTATCATGCATCCACAGATTCATCATGAGCAGGTCCAAGGAGGTGATCCTCCCCTTCTATGTGACATTGGTCAGGCTGCAGTTGGAGTACTGCATCCAATTCTGGGCGCCGCACTTCAGGAGGGATGTGGACAGCATTAAGAGGGTCCAGAGGAGGGCCACTCACATGATCAGGGGGCAGCAGGGCAGGCCCTATGAGGAGAGGCTACGAGACCTGAACCTGTTCAGCCTCCACAAGAGAAGGCTGAGAGGGAATCTGGTGGCTGTCTATAAACTGGTCAAGGGGGACCAGCAGGCAATGGGAGAGTACCCGTTCCCCCGAGCACTACTGGGAGTAACAAAGAATAACGGCCATAAGTTGATGGAGAGTAGATTCAGGCTAGATATCAGGAGGCACTACTTCACAGTCAGGGTGGCTAGGATCTGGAACCAACTTCCAAGGGAAGTGGTGCTCGCTCCTACCCTGGGGGTCTTCAAAAGGAGGCTAGAAAATCACCTAGCTGGGGTCGTTTGACCCCAGCATTCTTTCCTGCCCAGGTCAGGGGGTTGGACTTGATCTGCTCAGGTCCCTTCCGACCCTACCAGCTATGAAACTATGAAACTATAAAATGTGCTATGCCTTTATCTTCAGAAGGTATCAATTCATTGATTCAGTTTTTGAAATCTGTTGAAGCTGAATGGCTTTCCAGCTGAAGCCTTTCTACATATTCCTAATCTGGCCATAAATTGTTTAATTCTGATTATATTTGGTATTGGCACTAGTGAAAAATACTCATCTACTAGTTATGCTGCATATTTTCCTGTCAGACCCATTAAGTCCATTGGGACTTGTAGAGACTCATCATTATATTCAGTTGCATTTACATGTGATGCTACGTTGCTGTAGCGATGCGCTACAGCGATGTAGCTCATTGCTATGGCGATGTAGCATCAGTGGGCACAAATCATGATGCTGACACTGCATCACCATAGCGATGAGCTACGTCGCTATAGCGAATCATTATGGCAATGTAGCTGCTAAACATAACCATGTGCTGCTGCTACTGCACCATCATTTAGTACTTCCTAAAGCAAGTGCTAAATGATGGTGCAGTTGACTGCAGTGTGAGGGGCATGTGTAGATGCATGAGGACTTTTCACCGTTTCACATCACTTTTGGGGATGAAATTTAGCACCATAATTTTGCGGTCTACCTAGGACATCGTTGTTTTAGAAAGCTTTTGCAGACTTTTCAGGTCTGTGGGTAGCTTGTGATCTTTATATTGCAGGATTTGATTTTTAATGCCAAAGATAGTAAGAAAAGCAGTACAGAGGAGATGTTTTAAATTTGAATATAACATGTTTCTGCACAAGCAAAAAAAGCCCAGGACAACTCAGTCAAAAGAGTCTGAGAACATCCAGGAACAAAGTATGACAGTTATTTCACATGAAGCTGTGCAGGAAGTTTTCATTAAAGGCAGCAACCAGACGTTGCAGGTTTCATGCTGTCTCTGAGCTACAATATTTATCATACACCTCTGCTAAAGCTTGCCCCTGCTGTTGTGTTTGACCTCACTGACTGGGCTGGCAGGGTATTTCTCTACCCCTCAGAGGCACTATGCTCTGCTTACCATTCATCAAGATTGGAAATGAGATGCTGAAGATGAAATGAGGGTGCCCTCTTCTGCTGATATTGAGATCTCCATCTCTAGCATGTCTGAATGGGTGAGGGCAAGTGCGGCCCTACCACTTCATTTCTGAGTTTGGCATATGCAGAGTGTGGGTGAGGGATGTTTGACAGCAGCAGTGTTGAGAGCACTCAGGCAGTAAGCGTCCCATGCTCTCAGTAAGCTCTAGTGCTGATTTTTCCCTTGGCTTCTCTGGCATATTTCTTTGGGAAAGTCTATAACTTACCTCTCATGGAAATGGCATCTTTCAGCCTAATTCCTCTAGGACCCAGGCTGATATTCCTAGACTCCTCCCTAACTTCATCCCAACCTTTACTGGAGTTCCAACCTCAAGCACACAACTCTTCCTGATAAGGATTCTGGGTCATGCCTTCTAATACACTTTTTCTGCATGAAGAAGTAATGAGGACTGCCACTCAAAGGCTTCCCAAATAGTGCAGTTTGGTCATTCTAGTGCCACAAAAGGGAGTTTCAAGAAGAGGAAGCACCATGTGAGGAATCCTGCTTTCTGCACCCACTGCTGTTTATGCAATTTTCCCAATGACTCTGCAATACAAAATGCACAAACAATATTGGTAGCAAGAGCTTTCCCCCTTGACAGGGCAGCATTTACCTTGTTAAAGAACAAAATCAGACTCTATTTTTCTTATTCTCCTGCTATGTTCAGAATTATTTCTCTCCTGGCTACCCAGTGTCCCAATCTTGACAGGAAGGTGCTCTCAGTTCTGCCTGACCTGTAGATGGTGATTAAGTTGTGATCCCACTAGGAAGGAGGTTAGGGCTCAGATTTCTTCAGGAGTAGAGCCTGCATCTTCTAGGCCCCGCCCTGTTGCAGGTGGGTACCCCTAGGCTTCTGGGGAAAAGGTGGGACAGATACATAAATACTCTCTTTACAAATTTATACAGAATTTCTGTGCCTCTGTGCAATAGTGAATTGCAGTGGAATACTAATCTATTTAGATGCCTCTGGGATGGTCCTGAATTGTTTCTGAGAATGCACAATAGAAACAAGCCTTAGCTGTGTAAGGCACTTATCCATGTGTGTGTGATTCTGGCTTTTATGCAAGGTGATGTAGATTGTTGGGCGACTTAGGGTGCATCTCCACGTCACCATACAGCAATATTTCATATATTAAAACATGTCACTGTACAGCAATGTTGCTACAGCGCCATGCTTTAATACTTCCTCTTGGAAGTACTAAAGCACGGTGCATATGGATGGTCATTGTGCTGTGCGTGCAGCGCACGGTTAGATTTCACCACTATGTCACCGTAGAGGCTTGCTATACTGGGGGAGTGCACTGCTATGGCACAATAGCTGCTGATCACATGTAGACCCATGTGATTGCTACA